TTAGAGAAATAAAAATTTTTTTTAATTTATTTTTATTTGTGAAAGAAAGAGCTGCTTATTATATTTTTTTATCGAAGAGTTAACCCTTTTTATGTCCTTTAAAATGTGTATGTGTGAGGTGGACTATACTTTTGAACCTAAATTTTAAATTTTATTTTGTTGATTTAATCTTTCAGGTAAGGTTGTTCATTTTGTTGACCTAACTCGATTGATCCGCTTTCGCTAAAAATCAGATGGCTAATAGAAGGATTTTTGATATTTCGCAAACAGTCGAGTAAGAATGCGGAATACTTACAAAATTTTCGTGTTCATACTCGACCTACACATATATATATATTTTAGGATTAATTATATTAAAGGTCTCCAAAGTATAAGGTTTGTCTCACTTTGATCCTCAATATTTTAATTACATCATTTTAGTATCTAAAGTATTGAATATATTTTTTTGTAGTCCCTCAAGCAAACAATGTCCAAATTGTTAATAATTTTTAATTATAAATTTGTCACATAATACCTAAATATGAGTAAAAAAATAATGTGAATAACTTTTAATCAAATTTTTATCCAAATTTTAGTGAAAATTACCCAAATTATACAGTTTTGAACATGATCTATCTATATTTTGATCGAGAGTTATTTAATTAATTTTTTTTTGATTATATTTAGATATCATGACAAGTTTATAATCAAAAAAATATTAGCAATTCAAATGTTTTTTGTTTGAGGAATTATATCAAAACATATTCAATATTTTAGGAACTAAAATAATGTAATTAAAGTATTAAAATTAAAATAAGACAAATTCCATAGGACGTCTACTATAATTAAACCTTTTTTTGAACATTTGAAAAAAAATATGTGTTAATGTATGCACAAAAACGCTAAAATCCCTGGCCCCTCCTCCTCTTCGAATCTCAGAGACTCTCGCCCTTTTCTGCTTCTCTCAGTAGATCGATCACTAGCGCTCCTCCTCTTCGATTCTCAGAGACTCTCGCCGCCTCCTCTTCGAAGCCACAAGCATCCCAGGTTCTCTTTTTTCTTTCTCTCTCTCTCCTCTCCTCTCTGACTCTCTCTGTATGACAGTCTCTGTGTGAGTCTTAATTCCTTTTGTTTTTCTGAAATTGAAATCATATGATGAGAGTTTCAGTAGTTTTTTTTTGTTAAGCTAAATTATAATGGGTTTTAATCTTCTACATCTCATTATTGAACTCTAAAATTTGGGGCCTTTTTAATATTTAGCACTTAAAAGCCCATATTTTTTTGACTCTGCTGTTGAGCCGGCCATGGTGGAAAGAAATGAATTTGGTGTCTGATTGAGTTGAGTTCTTTTTAGATTAATAATACGGATACAAACACCAGATCTATACATTAGAGAGAGAAAGTTGGGTGGCCGAGGCGAACTAAAGAGGTTGTCATCCGGGCGGCCCGACAAAGATAGTTCTTTTATTTGAGGCCATATTATTTTTAGTATAATAATATAAAAATTTTGTTAATGTATGCATAGGTATCAAAATTTTACGATTCGCGATTCGATTCGTACAATTCGGTTCGATATAGATACAATTTGTATCTTATATGAGAATCGTTTTTAGAGTTGAATTGCACTTGGACGATTCGTATGATTCGATTCGTGCATTCGCACGATTCAGTCATTTTTTTTTAAAACCTAGATTTTTGGCAAAATGACGTCATTTTGTTTACGGAGGAACCAACGCCCTAATAAAAACTTAGTTTTTTTTGCTCGTTCTCTCTCTTTCTCTGGCATCATCTAAAATTCGCTTTGCGTTGTCTAAAGTTAAAGGTCATAGATAGTGCTCTTGCATCATCGATTGGTTTTTACTTTGAATTCTTTCATGGGTAGCCTGTTAGGTTCTATTTTTTTATTTTAAAATGTTGGCTTGTATATTTTCTCCCAAACAATTTTCTTATTTGTTTTTTTTTCATTCATATGTGTAACCTAATCTATATTGAGTGTCATTTTTTTAGTTTTTGAATAGTCATGGTTCTTTAATGAATTTCTTTTTTCAAATTGTCAAATTTGAAAATGGTTAAACAAAAGATGGAAATAAAGTAAACGACTAGCGTCTTTCCATTAGACAACATAATTAAGTTAATTGATTATTTTTAAAATGCAATAATGTTCAATATTCAATATTTTGTCTATTTTAGATATGTAGTATTATTTTTTATTTTTGTTTAAATTTTATATTGAATCTTACGATTCACGATTCTCAAATTTAGGATTTCGATTGACGATACGAGTCGCGATTTGACAACTATGAATGTATGTTTTTGATAGATAATATAGGTAATTCGTACAAAGTCTAATAACTGATATAATAAGTCTAACATAATGACAATATAAAACTCTTTCAGACTTTATGTTAGTACAATCATTAAAAATAATAAATTCATAAGCTTGAGCGAAAGTTAGAGTAAAATTAAAGGGTAGCTCAAGTGATAACAACAGCTCGTCATGAGTTTTTGGCAACCCTTTAGGGTTAGGTCATGAGGGATAAAATGAGGGATTATATCTTGTGCATATTTTAGTCCTAGCGTGGATGACCGACTTTTGACTAGACTAGGAAGGAGATTAGTCAAGGTGCGCGTAAATTGACTTGGACACCGCTAATTGTTGAAGCTAAAAAAGAAGAAAGCTAAAGTGGCACTTGACAGATCGAAAGCAAAGGGAAGGGAGATTTGAAACCCTGTCCTTCCTAATTTTCCAAGAGCCTTCGTGATTGGCATTTCAACTAGGGTTGACTAAAAAGGGGTTGCTTAGTTCTGATCCTTATTGTATTTGTCTCAAGCTATTAAATGGACAAAAAAAGGGAACAGAGGTCTCCTGAATCATTTTCAGCGAAGAAAGAGAATTCCTCAAAGAAACCTCTTGACAAAGGTTTAGCAAATCTCAAACCCAATATTATACACTCAAGTGGTGTTTTATTTTTGTCTTTTACATCATAAACAAATTCTCAACAAACTCAATTCAATTATTAACAAATCTAAATTATCAGAAGACCAATAAAATACAAAAATCAGCAAAGTAGAACAATTTTCAGTTGCCCAAAGTAATTAGGAACAGTATATTCAAAAGCATGCTATATACTTTCGTTACCTATGGTAGGTTGCCAAACATGAATAGTATTGCTATGAAGGAAATGATTCTCACATTAGTCTGTGAGTCCTAACAATAATATTGAACTTAGGTCTAGTCGTCTAGAATCTTTTTGTATCAAATTTTCATGGGACCCTAAAAGCAGAATTAGGCTTGACTGAACATAGATATAAAAGTTTTATTTGGGGCCTTAAAGTGGGATTAATTGAACTTGGTCTAATTTTTTTTTCTAGGGACTTGAAATAAAAGTAGACTTCAAGAGAGAGGCGATTGTCTCTCATATGTGCATCATCACAAGGAAAGAGAATCATTTGGATATTATTATTTTGAAGGAAACAATCAGGTGCTGCTGGGAGAATATTTTTTAGGTTCTTCGTTTTTTTTTCCCTATTATGTGGCAAACGAGTTTTCTGGTCAAGTTTATCATCATTGCTGCCTCGTAGTTTGTCCACTATGAATAATAATTTCATGTTTGAAGCAAATGAGAAGGAGTGAGAGAATCTATCGGTAAAGTCGTTCCAAGTTTTGACTTGGGCCTCCTTCAAGTTTTAGAGCTGTAATGCTAGAGATCTCATTTTAATTGATTGGAAGAAGGGAGCATGCATGGGGGGAGCCTTTATCTTTGGTGATGCCAGTATAATTGAAGATGGGGTTTTTGCTGCCAGTGGAGGGATGATCCTCTTAGTCTTCTTTGATTGTTGATGAACAATAATTTTAGCAATTTGCCAGCATCATTAATTAGATCAGGGAATGAGGTGCACAGCTTATGTCTTCCATTGCGAGTGAAGAATATATCTTAAGATCTTAGGATTTTTTTTTAAATGGGCATTTAGACTTCAAATTCAGAAGCACTTGCATTTAGGAAAAAGAGGAGCTATTACTTTGGGTATTTCTCCAAAAGTTCAATGCTTCCTTGTATTCGAGCAGAGAGGTGCCTTGTTTGATTCTCAAATAGACTTTGGTTTTTATTTGCTTAGTTCTATGCTGGGAATCTCTTTAACTAATGTAATGTACCCAAAAAAACTAATGAAGCTACATACTTGCTCTTTCTTTCAAATATATATTCTCTTTCAATAAGACTGCACTCTGTTACTTGTGAAACGAACATCACATCATCAGTGTTGGTTTATGTTACATGGGCGCTTTTGGTTAAATCCATGTTAATGTTTTTTGACAAAGAATGATTATGACATATGCTCTTACCCATTTATTGCTTGATGTTTATTGGCTTTTTTTCTGTGGGTGGAGGTATAGAATGTCTATAGAAATTACCAAAGGTGGGTAGATAAGTACCATATATTCCTACTCAAAAAATAAATAATCAAAATTCGTAGTGTTATTCAAACAAGTTTGAAGCTAATGATCCACTCTCCCTGGAACTGAAGGTTCCTCAGGGTGCTTTTTTGGTATATTAATCAGATTTCATTTTACCAAGGGTACATGCACACTGGAGCATTTCAGGCATGTCCGGTTTTCCTAACATTTACTGGTGTTTCTCCATCTGTCTAATTTGTCTGTTGCTTGATCAACTTGACTCAACTTTGAACAAGTGATGAACAAATCTGATACAACAAAGACCATCTTTTACTCCACCACTTTTCTTTTAGAATAAATTGCATGCCTGCTTTGTGCTTGTTTGGGCTATTGTATTAATAAATGAATTGTGTTGGTCTGTATCGAAATTTTCTGTTCCCAAATTGTGGTGGGCCCTGCAGGTTGGTTGCTTTACTGCATAGGCTTGGTTGCACCATGTTGCTTTCATTAATTTACATGTCAACGTAGTTCAATGATTCATTACTAGCGATGGCTATGATTGCTCTAGTTGTTCTTAATATTTACAGAACCTAACTAATATTTTTGTTTTCCATAGCAGCCGAAGTCCATGGCAGGGTCTGTGAGGAGTTCCATGCTGTCTTCCTTTCTTCTATTCACTGTCATTTTGTCTCTTCAAGAAATGTATAGAGCAAAGTTAGCTTCATCAGAGTTATTCACCATACTGGGAGGGTTCAGCAGTTCTCTCCTATTTGTTTTGCTTCTGACGGTGAGTTTAATATGTTCCCCCTATTGCTTGTTCACCTTTATATGTATATTGCTTCATGTGTATAATCATTATATTAATACACGGCATCTAAATGAGTTCAAGTTTCTTCTATAATGTGATTAAGTGATGATTATCTAAAGAAGAGAATCTATTTTTTTTTCTATTTCTTAATTAAAATGTTCAACACCAATGTTGCCAAAACGAGTTTCTTTCCCTCTTTTGACTGCCAAAACTGGTGATACACATCTTTTCGCAAGGTTCTTACTTGTTCAATTCCTTATTTCGTTCACGATATAGGTGTCATTTTTTTCACTTAAAAAATGCTATACAGTTATAATATGAATAGCATGTGCTGGGACAACATTTATATATTTTCCTGCCTTCGAATAACTTTTGTTAATTAATATGTACAAAGATGCATTGTGATTGACAAAGTTAAACCTGATTTACAAATAAAAGGTCTCAATCTGCTTTTCTGTCTTTTTTTTTTCCTAGTGGTGAATAGCTGCTGTTGCTTTAGGTACTTTTTTGGCAACATTTTGCGGATCAATTATAGTCCCTTGTATCTGTGATGAATGTTGAGAACTTACCATGCCAGTAATTATATATCTTGTGGATTATGATGTAGGTTCTTTATTATATTTTGCTTGCTTTTCCATCTTGAAATTATTTCTGTTGTTTCTCCACGATGAACTCCTGTATGCTATGGAGCAAAATAAGGTCTGAAATTTGACACAGTCTCTTGTTCTATTCTTGTAAACCCTTAATCATCCCAATCTTAAGTTTAAATTCTATATTTATACGAGTAAGATTGTTTGCTGCTCAGATATCTCCGTGTACCATTATATAGGTCTATACGCATCCTATAATCTAGAGCAATTTTACGGTGCATAATTTTACTCAAATAGTAGATAATTCTAAATTATGAAATTTAATGAGTATGATTAATCACCTTATAACTCTCTGAGACTTTCAGTTCCTTCTCAGCTTGGTATTTTACAGCATTAGAGTTTTCTTTTAGTGAATTCCTGCTCTAGGTATCCTCCTTGTACATGATATTGTTATTTGGGTAGGATATTTCCTGTGTCTCTTTGTTTCCATGCTTTCCTAGTTAATTTTCCTTCTCCACAGAGGTTTAAGATCCTATTGTGTAGTCATTGGAGCTTAAGACCTGTGTAAACATTATAGTTGTTCATTTTGCAATTATGTTATGCTACAACTTTAGATGGACAGGCATTTTGGTAATTGAAATGCATGAACATATTACTTGCTTCATCATTTGTGTCTTTACATTCCAAAGCATAAGTGGACATCTTATGTATATCATTCTGCTGGATGCCTGCATTACAAGGTCTACAGACTCTAGGACTAGAGACCTACACATGTTGTATTGGTGGGACTCACATTGAGTGTTGAGACAAGTATGTCTTTAGTGCTGACTTGGGGTGTTATTCTTGCAGTTGATTGGAAATTATCAAGAAACCTCTGGCAACAGGACTGGATGGGGTTCTGGTAAGTGTAACCTTTCCTTTCTGGCTTGTTATTTAATCAGGAAAATTTACTATGAGAGTTTTAAACATGAGAGGTGGTGTTACGTAATCCAAATGGATCTTTCATGTCTTACAGTTACTCGTAAATCTTGATCTTGAAGTTTGGGGAGAGGTGTACTTGGATCTTTCGNTGAAATTTGACACAGTCTCTTGTTCTATTCTTGTAAACCCTTAATCATCCCAATCTTAAGTTTAAATTCTATATTTATACGAGTAAGATTGTTTGCTGCTCAGATATCTCCGTGTACCATTATATAGGTCTATACGCATCCTATAATCTAGAGCAATTTTACGGTGCATAATTTTACTCAAATAGTAGATAATTCTAAATTATGAAATTTAATGAGTATGATTAATCACCTTATAACTCTCTGAGACTTTCAGTTCCTTCTCAGCTTGGTATTTTACAGCATTAGAGTTTTCTTTTAGTGAATTCCTGCTCTAGGTATCCTCCTTGTACATGATATTGTTATTTGGGTAGGATATTTCCTGTGTCTCTTTGTTTCCATGCTTTCCTAGTTAATTTTCCTTCTCCACAGAGGTTTAAGATCCTATTGTGTAGTCATTGGAGCTTAAGACCTGTGTAAACATTATAGTTGTTCATTTTGCAATTATGTTATGCTACAACTTTAGATGGACAGGCATTTTGGTAATTGAAATGCATGAACATATTACTTGCTTCATCATTTGTGTCTTTACATTCCAAAGCATAAGTGGACATCTTATGTATATCATTCTGCTGGATGCCTGCATTACAAGGTCTACAGACTCTAGGACTAGAGACCTACACATGTTGTATTGGTGGGACTCACATTGAGTGTTGAGACAAGTATGTCTTTAGTGCTGACTTGGGGTGTTATTCTTGCAGTTGATTGGAAATTATCAAGAAACCTCTGGCAACAGGACTGGATGGGGTTCTGGTAAGTGTAACCTTTCCTTTCTGGCTTGTTATTTAATCAGGAAAATTTACTATGAGAGTTTTAAACATGAGAGGTGGTGTTACGTAATCCAAATGGATCTTTCATGTCTTACAGTTACTCGTAAATCTTGATCTTGAAGTTTGGGGAGAGGTGTACTTGGATCTTTCGTCTCGATTATACACGTGGAGCTATACTCACTTGATTTAAACCCACCGGGGGGGGGTGACTAGGTTTTTGACACTTTCCAAATGAACCTACACCAATTTTAAAACATGTATACCACAATTACTAATTAATCAATAGAAGCTTAATGAACCCCTTTTGTGCAATGAACGAACCCTTTAGTGAATGAGTAGGTGAAGGATATGCAAATCCAACAGCCACAACTCACTCAAATCCATCAGCCTTACCCCCTCCTACAAGCCAACTACCAATTTACAAACCAAATTGATGAAGATATACAATGTAACAAAATTGTGTTTGATGAATCAATTCATCAAACACATGATGTGTGCGTGTGCGCTCGCTAAAATAAAATAATAAACATAAAACCACAACACGAGCAATTTAACGTGGAAATTGCTCTCGAGAAAAACTATGAAACTGATCCTGGTTTACCTATCCTAATCCACTATTCTCAAAATCAATTACAAGGGTAAAGTCTTATATCTACACCAATACACTCATGGCTATCTAATGCTTTCTTCCTTGAATCTTTCCCTCTGGATTATCCTATCGCGAGGTCTTGAGAACTAGCTTCACTTGAAAAAATCAAACGTGATAATTTGTCTAGGTCTCGAGCAATATTCAAGGACACGTTCCCAAGATTTTTGGTATGAACACACTCAGATATGGGATTGGTGGTTCTCCACTATATCTTATCTTTTTCTTGAATCGAAGGATCAAAGTAGAATAACCTTTTGGATTTTAGGAATCTAGGGTTTATTCTTGGCTCTTTATTTGATGTAAGGCATAATATAAGCTTTGGAGAGTTATCCTAGGTTAGGGAGGCGTGCCCTATTTGTAGCCCCAGAATTATAGTAGTCTTGGGCCCTAGAAAACTGAAATTCAGGGGGGGACTACTTGATCTGTTATAGAACGATGAAACGATTAGAGGGTGGTCAGTACTAGAATGAGAAAATGATCCAAACTAGTTGAGTTGAGTAGGGACTCCTCGAGTGGTCTCCGGTGCCAACTTTTTAAATCTCTTCCAATTTTTTCTTCAGTGTTCAGAGACTAGTCTAGCTGAATACAAGCGAGCAGGGGCGGCTCCTTTTGGTTTTTAACCCGAAAATTAAGTAAAAACTTGTCCCATTAAGCACTAAAGGGTGTTGCTCAACAAGGATTCGATCTATGACTCAATTTATGTTTTCTCGATGTTTCAAAATTATTTTCATGAAAAAACCAGAGTTATGTATAGATTACACTAAATCTATTTCAAATAAAACCTAATGAGCCAAATTAAAATTACCAAAATTCTAAGGTCTATAAGGTCATTACCTTTTGCTACAACTTAAAATATGCAAATTCAAGCGTAGATCTTCGCGAAGTAATATATAACTCGGAAGTTCGAGGTCGTACTACAAGGATTTGAGAAAGAGTTATAACACAAGAAAAAAAAATGTTTTGAAGTTGTTTGAAATTGGTTTTGTTCAAAAGAACAAAGATTAATTGATTAAGAATATGAAATACTAAAGTATCGGAGATACCCTTTCAATTCCATACAACAATTATTAATGATCTGTTTTCGAACTCAAGTGAGAATCAGTCGAGGAGTGATCCCAATCGGAACATTTAGCGATGATAATATGAAGATATCAAAAGTTATAACTAATAAATTATCCGAATAAATCTAAGAATTTACATGCAGATTATAAGGATTCACCGTGCGTGAAGTTTACGTGACAATGAATCAACAAATTATACATAGCAAAAACTTTACTAAAAGATAAGAATTGAATTAAAAGAATAAATCATGCATTAAAAATATTGGATCAAGAACAAATACCGTGTTTTATTGAAAGTATATCCTATAACTTTAGTTGGGCTTGTAGTCAGCCATAAAAACAATACAATAAACTAGAAGAGAAAAGATTGGTCAAAGGAATGCTCTATCAACAGGTGGGTGCTTTTATTTATACTAAAGTCTAGATATAGGTAGGAGTTTTAGGGTTGGCTTGGGATAAACCTTTTTCCAAAAAGAAGCATTTTTAGGTCAAATCCCATGCATCAAACCTTGGGAGCACAGGTACCATATCTGTCCAAACTTCGAGTCCAATTTTTGCATAGTTAGAAGCCGATTCATGAAATTTTTATGAAATACACTTTTGTAACTCTTGAAGTTTTCTTTCCAACATTGAAAAAATAAGGTCAATCGGATATCGGGATAAAAAAATATCACCAAAATACTAAAGATATGTCAAAATCTTATCTTCTAGAATACTTTCTTAATCCAACTCTAAATGAATTTTCTACTTAATTGGACTCTCATAAGGATTAAATTGTTACATTATCTTCAAATCTTCATATCTTAATTTTGACTCTTTAGTCCGTATCAACTGTGATTCTTCCTCTAATGTTTACTTCACTTGCCTTATCCATTCTTATTTTAAATTAATCAAATTATCTGTAAAATAAATCAAACAACTAGAAAAAGTATCAAACTAGAAAATCAAGAAATTTAACACATTTAATCATAAATAATATGCAATTAATCAATTATTAAATATAATAAAATAACACTTTTGATGGTTAATCACCTTTCCTAAGCTTTGAAGAATCAAAGGAGGTCTTCATGATGTAGCTTAAAGCTTAAACTCCTTCCTTTTTGTAGCTTTTGGATCTTGAACTTGAAGTATTCTGACCATGGACTTAGTTGAGATTTACATTATGACTTTACGGAATTAACCCGTTACAAATGAACAATTTTCTGACATAGTTTATACCTCAGCCATATGATTCCAAAGGTTGAGCAGGGAGAATAAACAAACCTTGATAGACTGAGAAATGGAAGGATGTAATTCAGTGAAGTGAAGTGCCTTGCAAAAGACGAGGCGACCATTACTTATAGCTCTCCTAAACCTTCCACTTCCTTGGCCAATGGTAGAACTGTAGCCACTTGTCTATAATCCAAAATGGTGAAGATCTTTTCTGGTAGGTGTCTTGGATTTTATTTTTTTTCATAAAAGAATACAATGCTGTCCTTGAAAATTTTGTTGAATTTAAGAATTTTACCCATGTTTATACATGTTGAGGGCCTTAAGGTTCAAGGGAGGTCTTCCTTTGTCTAATGTGCGAGACATGGTAGCTTGCTGGTGTATATGTATGTCAGCCTCACAAAGCAAGCTATTTTATACAGCACCATTATTTGTGTGCTTTTAGGCGTACCACCGGCATTGAGCCTGCTTGTGTGCACATGCATGTGCGGTTGTGTGTGCCTCCTCCCCAAACACACTTCATCTTCAGGATTTTTATCAAACGATTCAAGACCATACATCTAACCAGTGTTTTGGTTTTATGTTCAATGGTGATCTGGATTTATGTCATGATGTGAAGGGCCCAAAATTGACATAGTTTCAGGAGCATATTAACAATCCAAAAGAAAGAAAAGAAAGACCAGATTATGCGCTTAGTTCGAAGAAACATAAGGGGGAAGGAGAGGAGGTTGGCGTTTTCAGTCCTATTTTGATCATTAATGGAAGTGGGGTGGCTGAGTGTTTATTTAAGTTTGGTTCTCACTTTTTACGATGCCTGATCATCGCTTCATGGGTCCTTTGTTTTCATTCTTTTGCTAGGTACATAATTGAAATCTGTTAACGGACTCTGATGATAATGACTTTTATTTGGAGTACAACAATTAAACCTTTTAGTATAAAGTCTACAAATAAATAGCTTTGCCAGTTCACATTAGTTATTCGTGACTGAATGAATTATTTTCTTTATCTTTTGACTTTGCAGTTATATTAGCAGAGACAGTTGCTCTCATTGCTGCTAGCACCGTCCATCGAGTTTGTATCACAACTTGGTAATGCTTATCTTTTGGCTATGATTTTTACTTGTTTACCATTATAAAGCTTATCTCAGAACATATGTTGGAAAGCAAAATGCTATTCATTGGGACTAAATTGGTATATCTTTTCCTAACAATTGACATGTTGAGAGTCCTTTTTAAGTTAAGTGGACATCAATGGTCATTGTTATTTTGAAGGGAGAAAAAAGGGAAAAATAAGCTACAAGTAGCTAGGATGTGGATCCATGGATTCTAGCATTGTTCTGCATGAAACTATACTATGATAGTGTCAGCATAAAATGTGTTGACGTATTCATACAAGTGAAATTCTTGGTCGGTGGCTCGTAATGATCAAACTAGCTTGAGCTAAGATAAACCGACCTGAATTCAGTTATTATTATTATTATTTTTTATTTTATTTATTTATTTTTTTTGGAACGTTGAATTCAGTTATTTGAACTGGGTGCTTTGTGTATTAAATCGGGGCATTGCTAAACATTGTAGCTCAATGTAAGCTAAGATAAACCAGCCTGAATTCAGTTATTTGAGCTTTGATAAACTGGCCTGAATGGAAATGCTATGTAATATTGATTTAAGGTCATCGGATCCCAATGCAGTTTCTTGTTCTCTGCTGGACTATTGTACGAGATCAACAAGCTTTCAGGGATGATGCTTTCCAAGAGTGATTCTAAAGCGAAAAGGTTTTGAATGTAAGATTGTGCCTTTACAGGATTGGTTTTTTTTGTTTACTGGCTGTTACTGTGGAAATTTTGTAAGTGTTTTATACGATCAAAGTGTTACTATGAGATGTACTGGTTAATGTTGAAGAATGAGAATTTCGAATATGATTTACAGACTTTTACCCAACTGAATTATTTGGTGGCCATCTCTGCATAAAGGTTGAGAGAAGCAGAGATAGAACCATCTAAGTTCCAGTCTCTGAAAGTAAAGAGAGAGAATCTCTTTACCCTCATCGGTGGCCAGTGAGGCACTACCTTGATCTATGGGTTGGCTGCGGGATCTCTTCACCGCGGGGGTCCCTACGTCGGGACACAGATCTGAGGTGCCATCGATCCTCCTCTACTCTTTTTGGCCATCACAACCAAAAAAAGAAGGAAAAATACTAATGCTTTAGTTAACATTTTTCCAATAGGTATTTATTCAACCCGCTATTATCTTTGTGTGTAATTACAGTGTCATATTACATCTAAATGTTGAAAAATTAATAAACATTTAACAAAGTATAGCCACTACCTCTGAAGGTTCAGGTTGCATTCTTAGACCAACCAGCATTCCTAGAAACTTCATTATATCAAAAACTTTTCAAGCTTTGTAGATATCCAAATTTAGAGGCTGCGTATGCTTGATGTGCCTCTTGATCTCTCACTTGATGATATACTGTTCTGTAATGAAGACATAAATGACTCATGGCTGAGAGGCAATGGCCTATCTGGTAATCTCGGGATGTCGATATCGCCTTCCAACATTTTTAGAGCATCGGCAATGGTAGGTCTAAGAGCCACCATCACATGAGCACAGAGAATCCCAACACGAACAAACCTCTCCATAACTCCCCTTGGTCCTTCCTCTCTTAAGTACTCCTGAAAAATTTCTTCTACTTTTCCCGATTTCATGAGCGTCCATGCCCAATCTGTGATCAAAAGGGCCGAAGGACTTACTGTATCAAGCACTTTCCTCCCACTCATAATCTCGAGAATCACAATTCCAAAGCTGTAAACATCGCTCTTCTCTGTTAGTTGCCCGTAGAGAGCATACTCAGGTGCTAGGTAACCATATGTCCCGGCCACCCTTGTAGTGAGATGAGACTGTCCTTCTGTACTCTGCTTTGCCAGTCCAAAATCCGACACTCTTGCCTTCATATTCGAGTCCAGAAGAATATTGGTGGCCTTTATATCGCGGTGGTAAATTGCAGGTTTGATTCCGTAATGTAAGTAGGCGAGACCTCTCGCGACATCAAGAATTATACTCTTGCGTTGTGGCCAATTCAATGGCTTCCTGTGGCGGTTTGCTTCATAGTTGAAAAGATGATCATAGAGGCTACCATTTGACATGAAATCATAGACAAGATATCTTCCTTTACCCTTCAAATTATCGCTCGTAACGCAACAACCTCTGAGTGAAAGAAGGTTTCTATGCTTAATTTTGCTAATGATTTCTGCCTCATTGATGAACTCTTCATCCCCTTTCGAATCCAGATCAAGAACTTGTTTCACCGCGACTATAGTGCCATCTGAAAGTGTTCCTTTGTACACGACGCCATAACCGCCCTGGCCTATCATATTCCATTGGGAAAACCCGTTAGTTGCTTGTAAAAGCTCGGCTATCTGAAACCATTTTGCACCAGTGTTGGGCGAAACACGGGCCTTCACACCGCTCACATACTCTTCGTGCAAAGTTTCTTGCTTCCTTTTCTTGCTCCAATTCCTGTAAAAGATGACGAATCCAATGGTCCCCAAAACCCCAATGAAAGATCCCAAAAGCCCGAAAACCAGTTTTAGTAAGCGTTCTCGGGTCAAGCTTTTCGATGAGTTGGTGGTTTTTGAGGGCAAGCCTAGTATGCAAGCAGCTGTTTTTCTATTCTCAGGGCCAAAAACATTGACAATACCAGCAGCATAGAAGACAGTGAAGAAAAAACATTTAGTGGAATTGGGATCAAGAGACGTCAACTGAGCAGTTACCCTCATGCCAGCATCAAGGCACAAACCGCACTGTGTTATTCCTGTGAAGTTTCTGCAAGCTGAATCCAATGAACTTGATGGACCGACCTTTTCGAACCAATCCTGTAATGTCACAATCCCGGCACAACTTGAAGGCTTGATGACCAACTCATTCGAATCATTCATGCATTGATGGACAAAGGACTGAGAAATGGACATGGTGGTGAGCTTATTTTGAAACTCAGACAGGCAAGAAGACGATGAATTCGCATCCGGGAGATAGAACATGGATTTTTCTTTGAGGTGTTTGGCAAGTCCCATACCAAATAGGCTACTAAGAGTTTGACAACACTCGGGATCAGCGGGTTCGTGACAGAGAGTACTGTCCCATGGGAAAGTTTCGACGTAGGTGAAATCTATGGGACATTGAGAGGTTGCAGAATCTATTGAGAAGATGATCAAATGGGTGAGGAGGAAGAGAATGGAAGAGAGGAATTGGGACTTGCCCATGGCTGAAGAGGAAGAGAATGGACGAGAGGAATTTAGGGTTGTGTTTTTGGCTAAAACAATGGTGCAAGGATATGATTGAATGGTCTCTTAGTGGTGGGTTTGAGAAGTAAACATCAAACTTGGCTGCTGTGGTCAAAATCACGTTAGAGTTTGGGTTTGAAGTTGTTAGGAAGTTTAGTGGATAATTCAAAGTCAATACCAACTAATTAAGACATGCACGAAATAAAAGGAGGGAGGAGAAGGAGGGGGGGGG